TGTAGTAATATATATATATATATATAGTAATATATATATATATGTAGTAATATATATATATATATATATATATATATATATATATATATATATATATATATATATATATATATATATATATATATATATATATATATATATATATATATATATATATATATATATATATATATATATATGGCAATTTGACTATTTACATCCGAACAGACCGGCGTTTTGCCAGTAACGTCGATTCGACGTTATGCGTGGCAATTAACATGAATATGGACGTGGCCCCTAAGTACTAATTCATAGTTGAAAGTTGAAAATGATCATCAACGACTGCAAGCGAGTTTTCGTTTAAAGATATTTCGAAGCTCTCAAAAGCACGTCCGTCCGCCATGATCGACACTTTATATACACACTATATATATATATATATTAAAACAAAAACAACCGAAACAACATTATAGCTATAGCAAGTAAATAAGACTAAAGCCGTACAGAACCATTTACGCGATAACTGCATGCGCTTATATAAGACGCGTCTTATGTAAGTCGCGACTTATTTTGTCCCGTATAAATGGCCCTATTGTTACAACTTGTTGACAAGCTTGCTATAAGCCTGTTGCGAACACATCTTGTTGAAAAGTTGTGAGATTTTTATGTGTGTAGTTGAAGTGCCATGACCCATTCCAAAGATGATTTTTGCTTTGTCATAGTCTATGAAGACAAGATGGTCATTGTGTTATGTTGTTATCTATGTTTCATTGTATTTTCGTATAATTACGTAATCATCCAATTAATGTGCGAGGAACTGTGGGATACTGGCCTGCTAACCTTGCCATTTGTGCAAATCTTATTGAACAATTTTAATAAATATTCATTGATATTATATCATCACTGACCTGAAAAAGTTTCAGTGGCGGCGCCAGGCTTCCAAATTTGGGGGGGGGGCATTTGAGGGGCAAACTCAAATTTTGGGGGGGGGCAAGATAGAATTTTTAAAAAGGTCGCCCCCCCCAGGAAATCCGCCTCCCCCTCTCAAAACGTGGCGATATTCCTAAGAATATCGCCCCCGGGAGCGAATATCCTAGGAATATTGCCTCCACGGGGGGTGGGGCGAATACCCTAGGAATATTGCCCCTCTTTAGGACATTCGCCCCCCCCCCCATATATGCGATGTGGTTTATTCAAATAATTTCGTCTTTCATCTTATTATTGCCTTACACGTTTGAGGATTTAACTGTGCAAAACTAAAGCTTTTTTGTCTTTTTTTGAAACGTATTATTGGAGTATTGGCAAGTTTTACCATTCAGAGATTTACAAACTAATATTGAAACTGTAAAACATGTATACGCGCATTCACTAATGAGTAATGACAACTTATAAGCCATACATTTTCCGATAACGACACAACGCTTGTGTAGCCTTTAGTCGCTCTTAGTGACTAATAATTTTTTTGAGGGGGGACAAAATGGGGGGGGGGGCAAAAAATAATTTGCCCCCCCCCTGGCGCCGCCACTGAAAAGTTTACTAAGGCATTCCAAATTTCAACAAAGGCTTGACTGCAAAGGTATAGTTTTTTCAGGGCACCCCCAAGCTGCTCCATTTACTGTTCTGGAACATTTGGAACACTGTTCTGGAATGATATAAAATGGAGTGCACACAGTGTTCTGGAACAGTGTTTAGACTTTAGTTTATTTTATTATATTTATAAAGTATAGTGTTTTATAGAGATTTCGAGCACTGATAAAACTGATAATCTCACATGTGAGATTATTTATGAAGTAATCTCACATGTGAAAATTATCGCTTTTCTGTAAAAATTATCGCTTTTCAAAGACTGTCCTTTATATAATAAACAGAAAAATACATGGGTGCTTGGAAATGACCAAATTTATTTCTCGTGTTGAACATGATATCTCACCTATGTATTATTCTCTATGGCAGCGTTTACACTGTACCGTTTTCGTAGCGTTCTCGTATTGTTCGAGAGAACTAGACTATTGTCTTGCGTTCCCTTGAGGATTAAGAACAATACGAGAACGCTACGAAAACGGTACAGTGTAAACGCTGCTTAAATATATGCTTGCAACCATGCATTACTATACATTAGTTATTCGCATAATAAATCGTATAATGATTTGCTGTTATTTGTATATTAAGTATGCTTTTGCAACGTTTTTACTCGTTGATTTTGCCCAACCCTGGCGTTCAAATAGCATATAATAAGTATATGTCAATATATATAGCGGTTAACCCTTCAAAATAACACTCTACTGTATATGCAGTATACAGTGTGCATTGGATACACAAAATCTGTCGCCAACATTTTCATGGCAGTGTCACGTGTTCTGTTCTGGCTGCCCCTACTCGAAAATCGGGATAGTCAGAACAGTCATGCATGTGACTGTTTTCTGTTCCATTCATTAGTGTTCTGAAACTAGCTTTCTTGTATACTGTATATCTACTCATAGTTAATATGATCTACTGTAGTCCCACTCTAATACTCTATTGCTTTGCGTGGGCCTTATATGCGATAATTTAAATATGGTAATGTCGTCAAGTGTAATTATCACACCTTCTTGCGCAAACAAAGAAATGCAATGATGCATGGTTATCACTCGATATAAACTTGAAAAAAATGCAATAACTACGTATGTTTCAAATTTTTACACCGCTAATTATTAGTGGGCATCGCCAATTTCATCAATCTCGTACTCAGACCTAAATAATCTATTAGTACGAGAGTGCAATTTCATGCATAGAGATTAATTTCGACACTGAGATTATTTACATTGGTCTTGTGCGAAGTCTAGTATGCCCAATGGACTAGTCTATTGAAATGAAGATCTCTTTATGGCTTTAATAATCAGGAACATAGGCATAGCTATTGCATAAGTTTCGAGGACACGCTGTAGGGCAATCTCGTTTCCAGTAAAAGCTTGAGATCGAGTGTGAAGTCAGTGTTCAAACCATTTTAAAACGTTTCAACCAACATAACAACCAATTAAACTTAGTCCTTGAGGTCACAATAAAGGCACGACGCTTCACTGACGCGCCACAAAAGATGATTTTTGACAATGAAATTATAAAAATTGATCTTGTGCGAAGTCTGGTTCACACAATGGACCATTACTCAATGACCCGCCTTAAAAATTGGGAACATAGCACCCTGCGAAGCCATCTCGTACCAAAGAAAAGCCCGGGAACCGTTCCCTGTAAAGTTGTTTAAAGCTTTTCAATTTCAAACCAGTGTAGAACGATTCGAACTCACACGAATAACGAAACCCAACATATTTTACATACATGCATATTAGACGAACAAGTCGTCTGAATTTGTTCAACTACTCATTGATAATATCCAGTCCTACTCTATTGCTCTGTAATGTGCAATGTGTCATGTGTCATGTGTGATCTGCGATGTGCAATGTGCATTAGGACGACGGCAACGCGACGACGACAATCAAAACAAACTTCAAATAAATTATTGCGAAGAAGGGTTGTTATGTATTATCCACTGTATATGAATTGAATTCAGTCCGAAGAGATGAAAACGAAGGCTTTATTGTTAAAAACGCTTCTGCTGAGCAAATTTGTAGTTTTACTTGTCGCGTCTTGACATGTTTGCGTTGTACACGAGACGTGAAAATCTCTGGTTTGCCGTTGTAAAAAGCACTAACACAACGTCTATAACTCCCGTGGGGCTTTTAATTATTCATTTCTTTTGTACGAGATCAGGAATATCATTGTGTGAATAGCCGTTGTCGTCGCATTGCCGTCCTGTTTGCTTAAGGTCCCTAATGTGTAATGTGTAACCGTGGTCCACTGGCCTTTATAATTATGCGGTAATTTGAATATGGTAAAAAAAAACCATTACCAGCAGACAATTTAATAAAATACAAGAAAAAACATACTCCGAAGAATAACATCTTGTAAACTCAAGATATGAGCTATAACACAAGACAACAATTTTGCGGTGATATTTCGACTCTATTTCAAAGTCATTTTCAAACCAGAATAAGCTATTTACAAACTTGCTATCATATTATATACAAAGAAACAGGAAGAGATGACGTATTAGAAACATTACACTATTGACATACAATGATACTAAATTAAGAAAAGACCACGAGTTCTTTAGACGCTCTTAATCCGTTATTAAGCACGGGCTTTCTGTATTTAATATACAGAGCTTCAAGGAATAGGAGAAGGTTGGAATTTGTGTGCTTAAGAGTGTGAAGAGTTTGAGTAGATTGTGAAAAGAGAGCGGTGTGTCTAGTTTGACTGTGTCACTGTCATTTATGTCATTAAGGTTGTCAAACATGTGGTTCAAATTAAGGATGAAATTACCAATAACTATTTGTTCCAGAGCTGAATCAGAATGAAAATGACCATGTAATCGTCAACATTTTCCAGCCCAGGCTGAAATCGCTTCATGTAATCAGCCCTTAAGAACCTTTCAACCTCGCAGGATTAGCGAAACACACGATTAACATATACTTTACATTGCATGCATATATTAAACTTAGAGGTCACAATAAAGTCACTACGCTTCACTGACGCGCATATCAGATTCAATACGGCCATACGGCTAGTCGCACAAACGTCAATATCATGGTAAAATTCTCGCTAAAATCTGTCGCTCTAAAATGGTATTTCTTCAGTTCTCCAGGATCGGTGGGACTGTTCGTTGAATGTTTTAATCTTTTTATGAAACAACTTGGTTTCAACCCGGGACAGATTGGATTGACAACACTGTTCGGAATACCGCATCTACTCATACCACTGTGTCTGCTGTTCGGTGAAAAATTTCGAACAAGAAAGATTGTCGCAGTATTTGGTACCTTGGGAGCATCAGTATGTTGTATGTTACCACTTTTATCCCTGGTAGTACCAGCACTACAGCCGACATGCTATACCAAACCATACGTGAAACAACAATCTTTTCTTAGTAACGGATCGATGCACTTGAGGGATTTTACATCGAATAAATCTCTCGAAGCGATACAACAACCTATCTTCACTGACCTGAGCAATAGTTCGGCCAATAACCCACATGCAGTACATTCGAAGAATTCAAACCCTACAACCCGCATAGCTGACTCGAAAACACACCATTCCAAACCATATTTAACATCAACCCACACTCCATCAACACCACAAGTTGCTTGGGGTCATAATGGCCAAATGTTCTCGAAGTACTCGAAGGATAAAACACGCCTACCTGTCTCGAAGATTCACCGTTCCTTTAGATTTAACAACACCTTATCTATACAACGTATGCGACGCAGTTCTGTACTCTCAAACTATTCCGGCAATCCAGCCAAACCTTCCACCAAGACTCGCAATTCACTGCCTTTGCTAGGGGCTTTATTTGCACTCCTGACAGTTTCAAGATCTCTGACGCAGCTTTTTGAGCGTGTGGACCTGTCTTTAGCAAACCTGGTTACAATAACTCATATACAAGGAGAAAATGCGAGTTATGGCCTTTATCGCATGTGGTCCCATATAGGTTGTACACTTTCTATTTCGTGTGTCTCTGTGCTAGCTTGGTACATTCGGATAAATATGTGTGGAGTTACCAAGTATGGGTATTTCATAGCTTTTATATGGGGAGGAATTATGTTCTTACTTTCGATGATATCTCTTCCTTGGTTTAAGTTTGAGTACAACGAGAAAAAAACATTCACCTGGTCTGGAGTTAAATCTGATATTTTCAATGCGCACTACATTTTTATGCTCGTGATTCTGTTTTACGCCGGGATGTGTTTAGCGTTTCAATCTTACTGGGAGTTTTGGTACTTGGACGAATTATCTGCAACCCCGTTATTGATTGCCGGCGCAGTTTTAGTCCGAAGACCTATATTAGCGACGTCTATGTTTATGTCATGCCACTGTATAAGAAAGATCGGCGATTTAAAGACTATATGTGTGGCATTGTTTCTTTATGCGTGCTCGTATTTGGCTCTATCGTTCACACGAATAGCCTGGTTGGTTATTGTGATTGACACATGTCAGGCGACTGCTTACGGTCTTGGTTATTGCGCCCTCACAGTGCTCTTCTCCAAAGCCGCATCAAAAGAAAATGCAAGTGTGATTTTTGGTGAGTAAAACCTTAGACAAAGTGTGACCAGGGGCGGATCTACCGTTGGGGCGCAGGGGGGGGGGGGCGTACCCCACCTAGTGGTGTCTAGCACTCCCCAACCGCTAGAGAAGTCCAGCCCCCCCCCCCCCCCCTAAGAAAATCTGCTTGACCATACATTTTCTGCTTTTCGACTAGCGATTAGCGGAACTTCTACTGTTAGCGTGTGTCGATTTCTTGAAACGATTTAATTGATTTGTGAGTTCACGAGAAAATACTCAGAATGCTTTGGTTAAATATCACGGTTGACTATGTAAACATGTCGATGTTGTTATACAGCCAGATTTTCAAATATAGTGTATTTCAACAAGCAAATGTATTGTACTGTACTACAGCAATTGTCCAAATGATAGCAGCGTTGCAGACTGCAGAGGAGAGTGGGCAGTAAGGCTCCCTCATTCACCACCCCCATGGAAAACCTGCACCCCTCCTTGCAGATGAGATAGACCCACCCCTCAGTGTGACCAGATTTGGTAACTGGTCATGACTGAATGGCACTATTGTTATTCCAAGTGTTATATAAATCACCACCTTTCAAAATCATTTTGAAGTAATGCGTTCAATTTTTCATCGTTTTAGGCCTACTAGAGACAGTCTACGCTGTAGGATTTGAGACCGGATCGACTGTGATGGGAGTTCTTTTCCACATCTTGGGTACACAGCTAACATTACTCATCTATTCAATATCATCTGCTGTAGTGCTTGTTATTCTACTTCTGTACATTAGCTTTTCAACATCTCTGCACAACTATGAAAAAGTAGCTCAAGACAGTGATGACGAATGACAAAAACAACGGCAAAAAACAACAGCAATGTTGCATGCAGCCCAAATGCACTTTCACTAGTTAAAGTGCCTCCCAAATATGACTTTTGGCATGCATTCTCCATATGTAACATATCTTTATAGTAAAAAATAGCCTGAATATCAGGCCCTATTTTCCCTTCCTTAAATGCGGGCGAAGGGAAGGGAAAAGTGGAAAAGACCAAAAGAGGGCCTGACACAAATCCCTGTCTATAGCGGCATGTACAAAAGCCAACATCCAGCTTTTCACATGATTGGTCTATCAGACAAAAAAATTTAATCTGTCTTTTGATTGTTTAGTGCTAACTAGATTATACTATTGTTCATGATGTATTTAAAGGTTTAAATTAGACTCTTTTTGTCATTGCGTGAACTAACAAATTAACTATAAAATTTACTGTAGGCGGAAAGGGAGCAGATTCTTTTCTTAGCCTGATAATCATGTGTACAAAACGACTAAAACTTATAATAGTTTTAACTTAGATTATCATCTTGAACAGCCTTTTCACTGCCAAAGTGGTCGGATATGGTGTCATCAAATAAATGTTTGGAGCAAACAAAAAGGAAAATAAATCTTCAGTTCATTTAAGCCCCATTTACACGAGCAAATTTTATTTCATAAATTTCATATGTCAAAGATATTTTGCTCGTGTAGATGATAAATTTGGGACAAATTCATTGTGACAAATGCATTTGATCAAAAGGTAGCCATGCTAGCTTTTGACCAAAATTTGATCATCAAATGCATTTGATCAAATGAAATTTGTCAAATAAAATTTGCTCGTCTCAACTTCGGGTAAGCACTTCGCAGCTGGACTGTGCATGCAGCTCAGTGGTAAAAGTGCTGCACTGGAATCACAGGATCACAAGTTCGATTGCATGCCGCTGAGAAACGATCGTTGGATTCTTCGCAACTGATCCTAGTTAAGTCTAAAATATCTATATAGTTTTCCCTGTCATCATACACAACCCATTAGTGTTCGACTGATGTAAACAAGAAGCAAAATTACTTACGTTTTTGTATTTCACAAAAACATACGTTATACCAAAACTTCACTATCTTCTTTAAAGTACTTATATATCTTTCTTTTAAACAAGTTTTAAAGAAGTTTTATATAAACAAGTTTCAAACGAATATTGTGGTAAAATTCGTCGCGAATCTCGTTCTAAACGAAGGCAGAAGAACGACGACGGGGCAAGCATTCATGTTGGGCTATTTTGTCAGGGTTAAGGGTTTTGGGATCCGTTAGTACAGGGGGTTCGACTGTAATGGATTATTCCAGCCATATCCTAAATTTTGATCTAGGCAAGAAGAACGAAATCCAACACCACAGCTAGAAAGAGCATCTTAAAATTAATAAAATTGCAAAGTTTGGTTGCGAAATGTTGTAAAATGAGGAAGATATAGCCGCATTTTACAACATTTCGCAACCAAACTTTGCAATTTTACTAATTTTATGATGCTCTTTCTAGCTGTGGTGATGGATTTCGTTTTTCTTGCCTGGATCAAAATTAAGTCTATAGCGAATCGTCCATTACAAAAATAAAGTTATAATAGTTTCTTAAACTTACTTTTCAAGAAATGTAGGTGTAAGAACAATATGTAATGGCCACTGCACGTCGTAGTGTAACATCAGTGAATGCCATCCTGTGACTAGACTGCCTTAAAAAAAAAGAAGGGAATTTTAACCCATCGATGCTTTCCCCTCAAGTCTGATGCTATAACGAGTGAGCTTTATATACCGGGTGTCCCATAAAAAAACTGGACACTAGCTGTTTGATTTCATGTAACGTAAAAGCTATAAAAGCTATCGCAATGAAATAACGATCATTGCATTCCAAAAGGACCAACTTAGATTTTGATATACAGGACTTGAATTTACATGCAATACTGACTGCGCTATTGATGTTTGAACGTTGAACTACTGTTTTTGAAAATGCCAAAAATTAGCATTATAAAACAACCTTATAATTACCGATGTAGTTATACTTGTTAAATAATACTTTTATTTTGGTTGTATATCTCGGCCAATATTGCATGTAAATTCAAGTGTTATACTATCAAAATCCACGAATAGTCCTTTCTGAATGCAATGAGCTTTATGTCATTGTGATAGCTTTTACGTTACATGAAATCAAACAGTGTGCAGTTTTTTGGGGGGACCCGGTATATCTGAAGAAAGAACTTCAGTCATTCGGCTGATGAGATGGCGGAATTGACGTGCAATAGCTATGAAGGTTGCAAACAGTTTTAATACCATTTTCTGTAGTTAATTCCAGGGTTTTTTTCTAACGGGCAAAATTGCTAATCAAGTTATTAGTTCATAAAACCATAGTAGCATGCTTTAAATCGAAGTCAGAATGCGAAATTTCAGCACTCCTTGCAGACAAAAACAATAGAAAGGAATTGAAACTGACGTCCATGTATGTAGCTCCATCGTTCGGTTGGCTTCACTTTTTGACTCGAATTCTCACTCCAGATATATATGCAGCTCATTGGTTATAACTTATACAGAGTAGAAAACTGGTGATTTTCCCCGCGCGTGATGCAAATATATACAAAATTTGCGAACTTCGTGCCCGGGCTATATTTTCCTCATTTTACAACATTTCGCAACCAAACTTTGCAATTTTACTCATTTTAGATGCTATTTCCAGCTGTGGTAATGGATTTTGTTCTTCTTGTTCAGATCAAAATCTCGTCGAAAGCTGGAATCATCTATTGGTGATCTGGCGTCCGGTAATTTCAACCCCTGCTCAGGACGCTTTATCAGTGGAATACGCCTGAATTCTAAAAGCTCACTCACACTCACACTCAATGAGTGGAGGTTCAATCTGAGCTTCTCTTGAGTGTCATTGCTGTTTTTGAACAGCTGGAGAGTGAGTAGTCACATAGTAAGGTATGACACTCACCCTCCAGCTATTCAAAAACAACATTGACACTCGAGAGAAGCTCAGATTGAACTTCCACTCATTGAGTGTGATTGTGCTTTTAGAATACGGGCGATAGCCATGCTGTTGACTTTGTGGAGGGGCGGTTAGGTAAAAAAAAAATATGTGGGTTTCCGGTTTCCCGACCCTACCTAGCTTTTGGACGTCGAAATCCCGACCCTAAACTTTTTTATTGGATCATGGTTGTAAGTGTTTCCACTTAGAGGAAAAAGTTTGTGGAAAATTGAAATTTATCTTTGGATGTGGAAGCTCTGACTAAACAAAATGGCGTCCGCTTGTTCGGAAAATTAAAAAAAAGGTTTAAAAAAAAAGTTAAAAACCGACCTACCCTACCTAAGTTTTTATAAGAAGAAACCGGAAACCCACATATTTTTTTTTGGCCTTATCAAGCAGTTATCAAGTTCTTTCTATATGCGCGTTCAGCAGAGTACAAGAAATGAACGTACCTTCTTCCTTCCCAGGTATATTTTTCGGGACTTCAACAGAAAGTGTGAAATAAGACGTATTCTCGTCCTCATCTGGAAGCAACTAAAACAAAACAAATATTCTTTAAATCTGCACTTCATCAAGTACAATTATTCCTAATAGTTAAGGGACAATAGAAATTTTTATTGTCTTTTAATAGTGAAAATCGATAAGACAAAACAATAGTAAAATTTTGATACCTTACGCATAATTTCATCAAAAATAACTTTGATATCTGAAAAAATGAACTGAAGTTAAGCGATCGACTCGAGCCAACTTGTGACTCGAACTGCGCGAGTAAAGCCCAGTTTACATGAGACTGCATGGGACGGAGTCAAACTGAAAAGTTTGCTTGACCACGGTGGGAATCGAACCCGCGACCTTTGGGATACTAGTCCAATGCTCTGCCGACTGAGCTACGAGATCAAGATCTCACCGACTTTGTAAAGTACGTGAACCACAAGATGCCTGCGGAGGAAGCTAATTCAAGGCCATGTATCAGCAAATTCAAGGACTAAATACTGAAATCAGTAAAATATGACGTTCAATTGTTCAAAAAGGGCACAGCTTTTATGAATTTCAAACGGCTTTGTCAGATATAAAAATGCAAAATCAGTTCAACAAAAACAAAAAGTCCGTTTTGAATGTCAAACAACTTCGGAAAATATCCATAAACTAAACTCGTACAAGTACTTCTTTACAAATTCAAGGATATTCAAGGCCTTGGATTTTTGTATTCAAACTCAAGGACATTCAAGTACTTTCAAGTTTTGTACGAATCCTGAACATAGACAACTAATTTCTAAAAACAAAGGTCGAGGAAAAAAGCTTTTAGCAAAATGAATCATCAGATACCGAAGTTCTTGTCTCTTCCGCTATCTGATTCCATATTTGAGCCCCACTATAACTGAAACTTTTTTAGGAATTCCGTCCGAGGCCTGGGAATAAAAAGCCTAGTCGAAGAACCCCTTAAAGGGGCAGTGTCACGGCGCTGATTGGCTAAAATAAATGGCGCAAAGAAACGTTTAAAATTAATGCTACATGATAAGTTCTTTGAATGTTTGCATGGCGATAAAATATAATTGTTTTTGTTTGTGGAAACACCACGTAAATTTATTACTGCAGTAATAAATTTACGTGGTGTTTCCACAAACAAAAACAATTAATGCTACATGATTGGAAAAGATGCAGCACAGCCTTCAATTTTTAAAACAAAACAAGGATGTCCTGCATAACAAAGGGATTATAAATAGTATATCGTATCTCACTCCTAACTTGATTAATTGTTGGCAGACAGTTTTTCAAGTTCGCGCATATTTTGGATGCGCAGTAGAACCGTGACACTGCCCCTTTAAATTGTAATCATTTATTGTATTCGAATTTTGAAAAGTGTCACACAGTCTTTGAGGGGCTAATTGATTGACCTAATTGATAGGCTTTCACTTGTGCCCTACGTTCGTCAAGCGATATCCAACCAAGGGCATTACAAGAGCTAGAGGTCGTACATGTGAGAAAAAGTCAAATTCAAGGACTTTTCAAGGACATTTGTCAGCAAATTCAAGGACTAAATACTGAAGAAGAAATTCAAGGACTAAAATCTGACTTTCAATTGTTCAAAACGTAACTTTACTGAGTTTCAAACAGCTTTGTCAGATATGAACATGAAAAATCAATTCAACAAAATATCCGTTTTGAATATCTTACCTACCTCGCTTGAATTGAGACCCTGGTATCGGCTGGTCACCTGACCCGTCATACTTTGGCGGATTTGTTACTTTTGTTTTTAGAGAAAGGATAGTAACTGAGATGTTTTGTTTTGTAATGTTATTTTAACAATATTATAGTTTACTACAATATCTACTTACTATACTGTACTTTCCCTAAAACAATTGAGCAAATCCGCCTAAATATGACGGGTCAGGTGACCAGCCCCCAGGGTCTCAATTCAAGCGAGGTAGGAGCGAAGATTGAGAACCTGGGTACGAGGTTGGGTTCATTTTTGAAATTCCCGATCAGTCCATAGTCTATTTTGTAGTTTTGAAGACGTTCACTAAATCCCAAACTTCGCAACAATAATCAAAATGAGGCTGAATTACTCTCATTGGTTTCATCGGGTCTTTGTCGCCCTGATAGACAACCAAACAAAAAGCCGGAGAAAAGAATGAACGATTACTTACTATGACCAGTGTTGCCAGTTGGTGGAACTTTAAGTAAATCTTTGGATTTCTCTATCAGAGAACGAAATATTTCTCCACGACCAAGAAGATAAAAATCTTTCAGTAACTGTGATAAATAAGTTTAAACAAAAGACAATTATTCCTGCATGTGTAAAACAATAAATGTGATTAATATTTTAAAAATCAAAATCATGATCGTCATGGAAAGGTCCAATTTTTTCGAAGCTATTCAATACACTAGCAGCACGAGTTGATTCAGGTCTAACGCCTGTATTCTAAAAGCTCACTCACACGCAAAGAGTGGAGGTTCAATCTGAGCTTCTCTCGAGTGTCATTGCTGTTTGTGAACAGCTGGAGGGTTAGTGTCGTAACTTACTATGTGACTACTCACTCTACAGCTATTCAAAAACAGCACTGACACTCAAGAGAAGCTCAGATTGAACCTCCACTCTTTGAGTGTGAGTGTGCTTTCAGAATACAGGCGCGGTAAGACAGCTCGAGGTAGGACAGTTTGGAAATTTTGCTTTACCGTGTCCAAGTGGTAAGAATGCATGCGAACGGGACTCCCATGCGAGGCACTCCCCGTTACAAGCTATAAACATTTCTTAAAATATTTATACATTAATAACTGTGGGAAAACACATGCCAATTGCTCGAGCCGACCAACTAATTCTCAAAACCGCACACAACTTAAATGCTCGAATATCAGTTATTGGATTTAGTATTAAATGAGAATCAAAACTACATAAGAATGTGAAAGACAAGAGAAACACAAGCAATATGCATATTTTTTCTTCCGAACTAATTCCTATGACATGAACAAGTTCGATGTAATGACCAAGTACAGGTCATATCTGCATAAAAAATAGCAGTAATAAATGTAAGTACGTTTTTGACTACGAAGGTTTGCAGGCGAGGCTGTTTTACACACACAGTTCCAGAGAGGGACGATACGGTTAAAGAAAGACGACTGAAAAGTACTTGTTTTACACGAAAGAACTTTAAGCATAAGAGAAGGGTTTTCACTGCAGTTACGAGTATACGACAACGACTAACAAATGAACATAATTAACCCAGCCAGGGCTTTCAAAACAATTACAGACTTATACCTTCAAGTGTTTCAGTAACTCGCCTTCCTCAACAACAAGACACCACAGATTCTGAAATAAAAGTTTGTAAAAAGTTGGCTCGAAAATTTCGAAAATGAAATACTAAATTTATTGTCGGTTTGCATAGCGATAAAAAATTACGATCTGTTAAATGAAATGTACTTAAGCTATTTTAGGTTACTTTTTATGTGTGTTGCTGTTATGTACTCGCAGGGGAATATGATGTTTGTGGTATCATATCTTAATACATTGTATCTGTATCATATCTTAAAGAATACATTAGAACACAAAGTATCATATCTTAGAATACATTGATATCGAAGGAACTAGACTCAGTTCCGAAATATCACCAACTTCCGAAGTATCCCAAAGGTCACGGGTTCGATTCCCACCGTGGTCAGGCAAACTGTTCAGCTTGCCCGGTGTGGATGCACACTCAGAGTAACATCACAAACACTATTTTAGGTTATTTTTTGCGTGTGTTTTGATGTTATGTACTCAGGTGAATATAATGTTTTTGATGTTACTCTT